TGAAGGTGATAACATCCATTACAGGAGAATATGTCTCCATATAATCAATTCCAGGCCTTTGGAAAAACCCTTGTGCCACAAGTCGCGTTTTATATCTAACGACTTCATTTTTATCATTTCGTTTTCGCATAAAAACCCATTTATACCCTACTTGCTTTATGCCTTCAGGTGTTCGAACTATGGGTCCGAAGACTTCACATTTTTCAAGTGAAGTTAACTCTTCCTGGATAACGTCTTTCCATTTTGGCCAATCATTTCTCTGTCTACATTCATTGACAGATTTTTGTTCAAGATCCTCATCTTGTTGCATTATTTCAACAGCAACATTATAAGCAAAAATGTTATCGATAACAATATTATTTCGGTTCCATCTTTTCCTGGTTGAGACGTAACTTATTGATATCGCTTCATTCTCATTATTTTCAGGTACCTGGACCTCCCATAAGGTCTTATCATTTGTTACGTCTTGGGGCTCTTCTTGAGCCACTACCTCTGTGTTATGTTCACTTTGATCACTTGCTCCTTTTCTTCTTCGAGGATTTTTATCTTTAGAACCGATTGGTCTACCACGTTTCAAGCATGGCTTAGACTCATTTGCTTTAATTAATTGTTCTGTCGGGATATCAACTCGAATTGGAGCATTAGCAGCTGGAATATGTGACTTAGTCACCCTTGGTAGGTTAGTGAATGCATCTGGCAATTGATTTGCAATATTTTGTAAATGAATAATCTTTTGAACCTCTTGTTCACATTGATTTGTTCGAGGATCTAAATGAGACAGTGATAATGCATTCCAATCTATCTTCTTTTTCAGCTGCTTATTTTCTCCCCCTAATGTTGGATATACTGATTCATCAAAATGGCAATCAGAAAATCTTGCCGTAAATAAATCTCCAGTCATCGGCTCTAGATATTTTATAATAGAAGGAGATTCATATCCAACATATATCCCCAACCTTCTTTGAGGACCCATCTTTGTGCGTTGTGGTGGAGCAATTGGAACATATATCGCACAACCAAAGATCCTAAGATGGGATATATTTGGCTCCTGACCAAAAGCCAATTGTAATGTGGAGACTTTATGATAACTTGTGGGTCCTTATCCCCACAAGTGCTGCTGCGTGCAAAATAGCATGACCCCATACTGAAATGGAAAGTTTTGTTCTTATAAGCATTGGTCTAGCAATTAAGTGGAGGTGTTTGATCAATGATTCTGCTAGACCATTTTGTGTATGAACATGAGCAACCGGATGCTCAATTGTTATCCAGTTGAAATACAATAATCATTAAAGGCTTGGGATGTAAAATCACCAGCATTATCAAGACGAATTGTCTTAATTGCATAATCTAGAAATTGTGCTCTTAGCTTTATTATTTGAGCCAACAATCTCGCAAATGCCATATTGCGAGTTGATAGTAAGCACACATGTGACCATCTTGTAGATGCATCTAACCAAACCATATAATATTTGAATGGTCCACATGGAGGGTGAATGGACCCACATATATCACCATGTATACGTTCTAGAAATGCAGGGGATTCCATCCTAACTTTAATAGTTGATGGTCTAATAATTAATTTTCCTTGAGAACATGCAGCACAAGAGAATTCCTTAAATTGAAGAATCTTCTGATTCTTCATTGCATGTCCATGTGAATTCTCAATTATTTTACGCATCATATTAGAACCAGAATGGCCCAACCGGTCATGCCAAATAATAAAATTATCTTGATTAGTAAACTTCTCGTTTACTACGATATGTGTTTTAATCCTGCTAATACTTGTGTAGTATAAGCCAGAGGAAAGAGCAAGTAACATTTCAAGCACATATTTCTTACCGAACATTATTGTAGTAATATAAAGATATTCAATCTTTTCATCATTTGTAGTCTCAATATGATAGCCATTTTGGCGAATATCTTTGAAACTTAATAAGTTTCTTTGAGATTTACTACAATATAGTGCTTCATCAATAGCCAAATTTGTTCCTCCTGGTAGTAATAAATTGGCTCTTCCAGAACCTTCAATTAATCTTGTACTACCGGATATTGTATTAACATTCGCTTCTTTCATTACCAAATAAGAGAAATATCTCTTATCTTTTAAAATAGTGTGTGTTGTAGCACTATCCAGAAGACATATATTATCTTTATTAATCTTGAGTCCAATTGAAGACTGGAGAATTTTCATATTCTTCATAAAAAAGACAAATAATACATCATAAGAATATGAAAGACAAGCAGAAAAAAAACATTAAGAAATACATTAGGAATGTAGAAACTAACAACACGTGATGCATTAGGAAAATACACTCAAGAAAAATAAACTAGTTGCAAACATAAAAATAACAACTTTTATAGCTTTATTCCCCAGTAAGATGATTAGTTCTTCAGTCAATATCCTCAAAGAAGTCTCTAGCTTCTAAATGAGTAATATTTGTTAGGCCTTTAAAATCATCATCTTTATATGCAAGATGTGCCTTAGAATCATATTTGTTTGAGGGATCTGCCTCATCATCATTATTTTGAAAGGTCAAGTGTGCCTCCACATTATTTTATTTTTTCCTGAGGGAGGCTTGATAAAGTTTGATAAAATATTCTGGCGTACGACAAATGCGCGCCCAATGACCTCTCATACCACATCGGTGACACATACTAGTTTTACCTTTTGAATGATTAATTTGAGAACCCTTATTGTTCTCCAATTTATTTCCACCATAATGACGATAATTGTTTCACCCCTTGCCACGTCCACGTTTACGACTATGTCCACGACCACAATAATTATTTTATTTTCTTTCAAACTTATCATATGCTGCTACATCATTCACTTCCGGAAATGGAGCCGACCCAGTGAGACATGCTTCATGATTTTTCATTAATAGAGTATTATTCTGCTATGCCACAAGTAGGCATGTGATTCACTCAAAATATTTCTTAAAATCCTTTTCACGGTATTATTGTTGTAGCACCACATTTGAAGCGTGAAAAGTAGGAAATATTTTTCCAATAAGTCCTCATCTGTGATAGTGTCTCCACATAATTTTAATAGAGAACTTACTTTAAAGATAGCAGAATTATACTCACTTACGGTTTTTAAGTCTTGCAACCTTAAATGTATCCACTCATACCAAGCTTTCGGTAATACCGTACGTTTTAGGTGGTCATACCGATCCTTCACATTAATTCATAATTCAAGTGGATCTTTTACGGTTAAGTATTCAGTTTTTAACCCTTCATGTATATGATGACGAAGGAAAATCATGGCCTTCGCTTTATCCTGATTTGATGCTTCATTTCCTTGTATAATAGTATTTCCAAGACCTTTAGCATCAAGGTAAATTTCAGCATCAAGGACCCATGATAAATAGTTCAAGACGAATAAGTTAGAGAAATAATTATAATAATAAACAATTAATGAAAACAAAATGATTAAGGTAAAAGAAATGAAAATAGAGCTATATCATGTTAACAATCTACTATTTCATTTTATTCTTGCCATAAAGTAGAAATTACATACTTGTTTCATTTCACTTTATATTATTGATATATATNAAATGAAAATAGAGCTATATCATGTTAACAATCTACTATTTCATTTTATTCTTGCCATAAAGTAGAAATTACATACTTGTTTCATTTCACTTTATATTATTGATTTATATGTGTTAATAGAATTGAATGTGACTAACATTATTTATATGTTCCAATAAATATAAAGTAATTAAACTATAAAATTATTGCTTGTCAATTCATTTCTCACAGTTCTTCAAAATGCTTTAAAATATGTTTTGATCCAGGGAGTCCATGAATATTACAAGTATGACATTAGTGCATAGCTAGTTTGATGACTTTGAGGTCATTTAAGAGTTGAGCACGGAAGGAAATAGTTATTTTATCACTACAATGTACTTAAACTATTTAAGATGCCTAAACGCACAAGTAATCTGCAAACAGTAAGCATATGATATGTAATATCATAAATAAAATGATTATAATGATACATACCTTAATAAGATATGACTCAATTTAGCGGTGGTTAAGAATAACATATAGACATTTACTCCGTTGATTTGAATAAAGAAATGCATATGGCACACATGCGTGTTAATGACCCATGTGAAGTGGAAGGATAACGTCTTAAAATATCTCACTCCAATCCTACGTACCTACTACCTACCATTGGGAGGTAAAGTAAAAACCCTACCTACCAAGCTTCATTACATGCTAACGAAGTAGATCGAGTATGATCCCTTCAATTTGGAGTTAGATTTACTTAGCAGGCGTTTGGACATAAAAATTATAACCTTTAGAAAAAATAGTATTTGAATTGAAATTATGTTTGGATATTTCACTTAAAAAAATATTGAGTTTTTGAGTTGGAAAAATATTTTTTGATTTTTTTTTCTTCCAAAAATCTCTAAAAACTTACAAAATTTCATGAATAAATATATTTTTTTTAAAAAAAATCGACAAAGAAAAATCTATGGACAAACGATCCTTAATCTTTCCTATGGAACACCAAATTAAGCTCAAGTTTTGGTATAACTATTCAAGGGACTCGAGACTTTTAAGTATTTTTGATCATTGCTTGCGAGGATGTGACCAACACATTATATTTATAAGCTAATTATATATGCCTATTCCATAGCACCTAATAGCTAAACCGATTGACAGACTATTTTTTTTTTAGCGTTTTAAGACCATTGTAGACCAGCGTATATAACTAATAAATTATTCTTAAAATACAAATACTAATGTCAAACATAAAAGATATGTCACCTAAAATCAGAATAGAGCACATAAATCTTATCTTTAGGAACAAAATTACAGCAGTAATATTGACATGTAAGCAGCAGCCAACAAATCACAAGGATCAAATTAGCCATGTCCATGTGAATCGGCAACTTGTTGGTTATATAGAAATAAACATAATTTTGGATCACACGTTTTATTCATTTCATTTCAACTAGTACGATTCCAATTCCACGTGTCATTATAAGCGTTGAATATTCACCCTGCACCACTACTATACATTTTCTTTTCTCTTTCCTCTCATCTGCATTTCTCTATTTCTCCGATTCCTACTCCGCCGGAGAAACAATGACGGCGAATATCCTCCGATTCTCCCTCTCACCTAATCACAAACTCACTTCCAGCTTCAGTCACTCCAATGTCAACCACCAACGACGTCGTATCAACGGCCATCACTTCAATCCTCTCATCCACCAACGACGTCGTAGCGGTCAGCTATTGCTGCGGCGCAATGCCGTACTCGCGAAGGCTGTTGAGTTTAAAGCTCCGGCGAGCGGAGCTGAACAGCAGCAGCAGTTGAAGAAAGATGAAACGATAGTACTACTCGACGTGAGCGGGATGATGTGTGGCGCGTGCGTTACACGCGTCAAGTCGATCCTCTCCGCCGACGACCGAGTTGACTCGGCCGTGGTCAACATGTTGACCGAGACAGCTGCGATAAAGTTGAAACCGGAGGCCGGTGAGAGTTTTGCTGCCGCTGAGGAGTTAGCTCAGAGGCTGACCGGATGTGGTTTTCCGACAAATAAGAGGTCGTCGGGGTTAGGAGTAGATGAGAAGGTGAAGAAGTGGAAGGAAATGGTGGAGAAAAAGGAGGCATTGCTTGTTGAGAGTCGAAACAGAGTGTTTTTTGCTTGGTCTCTGGTCGCTTTATGCTGTGGAACTCACGCTACTCATATATTGCACTCTCTTGGCATTCATATTGGTCACGGTAAACTAGCACAAAAATGCATTTCATTTCTTTTTACAATGAAAACTGAAGCTCAAAAAATTTAGAGCCTCTTCGTGAGTGAATGACATTCTTGCTAATTAAAAACAACTAGGATTTGAACACTTGATTTAACCGTTGTAAGAAATGTTAAAAAGGAAAAATGCAAATACTTTGTTTTTATGTTAAAAGATTTGGAAATGGTTACTGATTAAGTCATAGGAATACATCCGATACTCTAATGCTCAATATTACATTGTTCTTTTTTTTTTCCCCTCGAAATTATGTCTTTCAGCTTGAAAACATCTGTAGGATAGTGTTGGATGAAATTTTCTGTTCTGGATAACCAAATTAATTGAGAAAAATTGGTACAGGTTCAGTGTTGGATGTACTGCATAATTCTTATGTCAAAGCTGGATTGGCAATAGGGGCTTTACTTGGACCTGGACGAGGTTAGTCATTACTTGTTTATTAGATTCTCTTTCTTTTTCTTTCTTCATTAGCAGTTACTTTCTACTCTCTTTATGTTTTTCTTTTCTTATTTTCTTTTATTTTAGGTTACTTTATCTAGTTAACCATGGAGGTTGACTAAATCAAACAAGTGTGATTGTGATAAAATTGGCTCCAAATTTTCCTTTTTTTTTTCTTCTTCCTGCCGATTAAGTCTTTAACGAGACTCAATATCTTAAAGTTGTTGTGGGTACTATAAAGAACCCTTTTTCAGTTTGCAGGTAGTAGTGTATGTGGAAATAGAAAAACATTTCATTGACTTAATTAACAATGTACAACATTGAAAGTACAAGCAGAGGGGGAAGGG